TTTTTTTTTTTTTTTTTTTTATTATTATTTATTATTATTATTATAATTATTATAATTAGTAAAAAAGAAAGAGTCTAGAACCTTTTTTTTCATGAATATTATTTATTATATATATATATATATAATATATAAATATATTCATTTTACATTGAAATTTCCTTAAATAAATTTATTTTTTAAAAAAAAAAATCCTGTTTCTCTAATTTTGGTATTTCGGTAAATTTCGGTAATACCGTAATAATTACCTAAATATGTTAAATAGGTTCCATTCTCATCTCTTTATTTGATAAATTCTAGAATACTTTTTTACTCTTGGTTCGGTTAATGAATTGCCGATTTAACCCTACCTTAAACGTAAACGTACGTTATGAATAAAAATTATTTTTACTCCTTTCCGAAGGTCTTTTTTTGCCGTTTTGAATTCGGTGATCTGCGATCATGGGAATCATGGATTTGATTGGGAAATGATGGAATTTTGAAACACAAGAAAAAAACCACCGATCATCATGTGATATGTCTATAGGACAATTATTATTCGTAAATTTACATTATTATTGAACATATTTGGTATATTTAATATATTTGATATATATTTGGTATATTTGTATATTTGATATATTTGAGAAAAAAATAATTTTTTTTTTTTTTCAAAGGAAAACCCTAAATTGGTTATTAATTAATAACGAATACGATGAATAATACCGATGAATAATACAACGAAAATACAACGAAATACAATAATAATAAACCAACAACGGATGAAACGGAAAATTTCCCTTTCGGCTGAAATGTTGAAACTTTCCGATTAACTAATTAATAATCATACTTTTTTCTTACTGCTTAATAATAAATTCTCAATAGGTCAAATAAATGTGAGGTTCAACTTGAGGTTCAATAAATCAAACAAATACGTTCCCAAAATTAGTTGAATGAAAATTAATACTTATTATTGCATACTGTAAAAAGGGAATACAGTAATTTATCAGAAAGTATGAATATCTTAATACGGAAATAATAAAAGACTTAATTTAATCCTTGTCCTAACCCCAAATAATCTTAAATTATGTCGATTGTTTTAATTCATATTCTTATACGTAACTCATCTCAAACTCATGGTTTGGGGTTTGATCATGTGAACATGTCGTAACCTTGAAGGTAAAAGTGTTAAGCCCTATTCGATCTTCGCTTTGTTATCTTTACACCACGTAAATGTTATGTGCCAAAAAATTCTAATTTAGAGTATAATCATTGATTTGTTAATACAAATATACAATTTATATATATATATTTTTATACATACATATATTTATATATATATATATATATTTCATTATCACTGTTTAGAAAAGAAAAAAAAACCCGAAAAAAAAAAAATCTAATCTACATCTATCCAATATCAATGACCATTAAATAGATAAACCCGTACATCATGATTGCATAAATATATATATAAAAATATATACAAAATATATATATATATAAAATATACATATATATATATTATATATATCTCAATTATATATTAGTTTCATATTTTTTTGTTTTTATCTCTCATGCATATTTACTACCATAATAAACATAATAACACATTAAATCTTATTAGTATATACTCATTTAGAACTATGTAAATATGTAATATATTTTAATAAATGAATGATGTATGGTGTATAATGTTTATGATACTATTGATTGTATGGATATTATTTATATATATATATATATATTTTTTATAGTACCAGTATGATGTATGATGTATAATCCTCTTTCTTTCTTTTTTTTTTT